CATGCGGGCTTCTTGAGGCCTAATGTCAGAAGTGGCTCAAGGACATTTCTGCTTCATTCACCCAACCTCAAGGGTGGAGAAATAAACTCCACCTGCTGCGGGGAGGAACTTGCAAAGCATGTGAATACAGAAAAGGATGAACAATTGGGGCCACTGATGCCTTCTACCAGAGCAGACACACTGCGTTGTAGATGGTAAGAAAGAAGACATCAGAGAGGGAGAGAGAGGACAAAATTTAGTGCATACTGTGAACATTAAGAAAAGCATTCGATTTGGAGCAGAAGTAGACTCAGATTCCGGCTCTGCCAATTACTAGCAGTGCAGCCCTCGTGAGTCATTTAACCCAAGACTCCATTCACAATCTGTAAAGTGGAAATGACAATCCCTACCTCATGGTGTGAAAATTAAATGAGGCGATGTAAAAGGCGCTTTACTGTAAAATGCAAACCTATGCACGATGACACAGTAAATTTCCAGGAAAGGTGGGGAGAGAATGTCATGGGACAGCAGAACACAAGGGGTAATTTCAAGTGCTGAAGGACATTCATGTGGAGAGGGTGAGACACAAAGAGGTCTGTGTTGTAGACCAAGACTAACGGTGGGAATGAGGGAATGACAGGGAGGAGTTATTCCATAAAAAGAACATTTTCATAGTGAGGACAGTTCACATGTGGCTTTAGGAGGTGGAGATTTCTCCATCGCTGGGGCTGTGAAGCCAAGCCCTGCTGACCTGTTAGGCTTAGAGGAGAATTGAGGAGGACTGATATCCCAGGTTCCAGTGGCATTTGGTGGGTGTGGAACAGGGATGCCCCACCTCCAGCAATGCTCAGGACAGCCCAAAACAATGGAAAATGCTCATATTCAAAATGCCAATAGAGGCTGGCTGGTTAACTCAGTTGGTTAGAACACAGCCTTGTAGCAAGGGTTCAGTTCTCCATGCCAGCCAGCCACCAAAAAAAAAAAATCAAAATGCTAATAGAGTCCCTGGGAATAAATACCACACTTGGTGGGTTCAGATCCCAATCTTGAGGGTCCTAATAATGCATGTTCTATTTTTAGCAAGCCCCCTCTTTTTTTTGCCAATGTCTCAGTGCCCTAACTGAAAAGATATTTGACTTCAGAAAAACCTTGGATATGACTAAATAAGCAAAGTCACAACAGCAAAATATTACAATCCTTTTAAATAGTAAAATTACACTCAAAGGTTTATAAAACAGTCAATAAATACACATGATGATTGTGTACAGGGCTATGAAAATGTTGTCAGGTGCATAAATCGTCAATTACTCTACCTTGTAGAGAGCCAGCTACCCTGTTTGGAGACACCACATTAGTTATAAAGTTAACGTGTTAGCTGAAATCAACTGCATTTTTACTGAACTACTATTTCTCTTGCTACACAGAACACAAAAAGGCTCTTTAAAGATGTCTGTTTTCTTAAAAAAACTGGCTAGACAGTTTGAACTAGTTCCTTCCTTTTTTTCCATTAACATTCACATTTTCTTGATTTGAGGGCTTGGATCAAAGTAGATTCAGTAAACACTTGCAGCTGCCGCTGGTGCTGCTGTTCTCACTTGAGACGATTTTTAAGGAAAGGCCTCTGCCCTGCATCCTCTGTGTCCTCCTCTCCCCCCTGGCTTATTCAGAACCTGCATCATCCAAAGGCAGGGGGAGTGGATGGCTGGAGAAGGTCTAGGTTCACCCTTCCTGCAGGTGTCACACGATTACCAAGCCACTAGCAACGACTTCTTAGCAAGAGTTCTCAGAATTGTCTGCAGAATTCCTGATGGCACCAGAATTCCTGATTCTAGCAATCCCCAGGAAACGAGTAGGCAGGAAAAACTGAGGTTCATTTGTCACTTTGGCAGCAACTTAGCCAAGAAAGGTGGGGCCTCCCTGGCCTGTATTCATCTTAAAATGTGAGTTTTCTACCCATCAACTGGGGGATGGTTTGGGCATTATTAGAGTAACCATGATAGTAGATTTTCCTAGCAAGTTGAAGATAAATCTTTAAACTTTCAGGAACACACACACTTGTGCAGCAAAACCCACAACCTCTCAGATTCACCAGCTAAAATTTGGGTTTGTGGACTTGAACAACTGCAACTCTTAAGAAACATCAAAGCTTCAATTTGAAGGTCCCTGGATGGTTATCATTGCTGTAAGCATGGGAGAGTTGAAAAGTTCCATGAAAAGTTATGGTCCTGGGGACTGAAATCTGCCCGGCGGCCAGGACATGCGGCTTGATTTTCAGTGGCATTAACTTCAGTGATCTGCTCAGTGCCTGTGGTAGGCTGTTACATTGGTGGCCCCAGGGAACTACACCTCCCTGGTTTGCTGCCCTGTGCGGGCCCCTCCACATGGACTCTGGGTATGGCCACGCAACTGGCATTGGCTAACAAGCCATGAACCAGCATGATGCAAGGCGGCACCGTGGGCTTGTCTTCTTGGAGCACTCTCTTTGAGAGCCTTGAGCCACCATGTGGTCTGACCCCCTGCTGAGGAGACCCAGCCAGTGCCCTGTGCTTCAGCCTCCAAGCTGAGGCTCCAGAATCCTCAATGAAGCCTTTGGAAGTTCCAGCCTAACTGTCCCAGCTGTGCCCCCTCACAGCTGACCTACTAGCTGCACACAGCCAGTGCCACAGGGAGTGGAACTACCCAGCTGAATCTTGCCCAAACTCCTGGTCTGCAGAAAAGCAAAATAAAATGGTTATTGTCTTAGGCCACTAAGTTTTGGAGGGCAGTTTGTCAGGCAGCAATAAATAACTGAAACAGTTCCCCCTTTGTCTCCTGTGGAAACTTTTGCTTTGTTGTAAAATAAAGCACTTATTTCCACCAGTACTCCAGTCAGCATATGGGTTCTTGGTCAGATTACACTACAGCGTGTCCAGCTCAGCTGAAAGTGTCCTTTCAGAAAGCCACGTCAGCATCAAAGTGAGGAATGGTCAACAGAAACATCTGTATCTGAGAGTAGAACTATTTGCATTTTTAATGTCATTGTTCTCTTCTTCCAAGATTTCCAAAATATTTCCTGCTTAAGCATGTAGGATTTAAAAACCTACACCAGTACAACTTTCTGGATCCACTAAGTATAGCGCATGGTTTTGCTCACCACTGTATCGAGCTCCCCTCAGAGGGCCTGGCTCACAGTAGGCTAAGCACTCAGAAATGTTATGAGCTGTGGCATGTTCAAATAAAGAACCCAGAGAATTACTATGGGTTACCATCATGGGTTGAAGTTGCTCACGAGTTAGGATATGCTATAAAGGAGCCCATGGCTCACGAGCTTACCTTTCTTGATACTTAATGGCATAATGCACCACAGTACTTTCGAACCTCTGGCTTAGCTCTTGGTTTTGTTTTTAACCCCAGGAATGGGCATGTCAGACTGCACAAGGTGCTTCAGGCTATTCAAACCACCACCATCTCCTCCACTCATTAGGAAGAGACAGTCTGTTTCCAAATGCTCTATTGGCAAAACAGCCTCCTTCCTCCACCCTTCTTCGCCCTTGGGATACAGCCTGGGCCACAGACAGGTGTGGGTGTCTACATTAGCATGAATCATGGCTTCTCCCTTTTTCATCTTGGCCTGGACCCCCATTTCTGAGGACAGAAGCATGGGGTGGGGGAGGTATTCCAGGAAAATCCTGGCTCATGTCTTTCTGGAAAGACATGTGGTTTCCCTAAAAATTACTTTGTGCAACACTCACCAAGGAGCGCCTGTCCTAACATGGGCTCGCCCTTTCTTCCCCAAATGTTACGGGGTTTAGAAATAAACATTCAGGAAAATTAGGGGCAATGCCACCATGAGTTTCGCTTATGTATCTTAGTGTCACTAAAGATAGAGTTCATGTTTATAAAGAAGATAATCACTGATCCAGAAGTAAAGCTGACCAAACTGAAAAGTTTTGGCAGACCAAGGGTTGGGGAGGAGGTTTGCAGGAAAAGTAACTCGCTGGGTTCTAGTCATCCTTACAGAAATGAAAGCTATAACTCTAAGTGGTAAATTAAAATTAAAAATCTGCTACATAGTAGTAGATATGTACACTCACTAGTCTTTCACTAATGAGTTATTTCTACTATTATATAGGAAACACAGGTTTGATGATACCATTGTAAAAACAGATATAGACAATATTTCTCCACTAATTTCCTATTTTAAATAATCATTACAAATTACTAAAAGCCCATGCATTTGATTGTTGCATACTAAAACCACACTGAAATATATCACAGAAGATTTAAAAATAAGGTAGCAGTTCCTCACCAATGATATTTTCCTTTTCATATTTTGAGTTTCTGTCAAAGATGTTCATGAAGTAAATGTTTAGGTCTCCTGGGGAATTCAGTAGGCAATACCCAGGGTAAACGTTTGGGAGGTGCTGGGTGAGCCAGCCACACCCACCTTAAATAAGCTAGGTCTGAATGAAATTTGAGTCTGAAGCCACCTAGTGGACCAACTCCAGTAATGATCAGAGAGAGTTAAACACGAGTCCAGTAAAGTGTTTCCATTTTAAAATGCTTTAAAATATACAATCAGAAATAACAAATGGCAGGACACCCAATTGCTCTAGTGATGTCCAACAAGACTTAACTCTTTCTCCCCAAAGGTTGTGTTTGAGAAAATCTGTATTTTTCTGGTATTCATCTCCATCAAGTCTTAATAGCCCTTGCAGGAGAATATGTATTCCCCTAACACAATATCTTCGAGGCTTATCACCAAGGAAGAGATGCATAATGATATCACGGGATGTCTGTAGGTACTAAAATATACTAATAAAAATGTTAAGTTAAAAAGGACATGAAACGAAGGTACTAAACTGATGCTTAGTCCTAAAAAGGCAATAGTAACAGCCTCAGCTAAATGCCAGGTGGCCCCTATTGCAATATCAGGACTCTTCAACAGTTGTGTTCAATGCCACTTGCTCTAAAGCATGTCAAAAGCAGATTGTTGTGGCAGATCCCAAAGCAGAACCGTTCATGCATAAAAAGAGGAAGTCTTATGAGTGAATGGTATATTTTCAAACTCAGTGAGTTGAGGAAGAAAAACACACAGAAAAGCCAGATTTTTAAAAAAAGCTTCAGCAGTAACACAATGAACATACATTAACTTGTGTATACTATGCATGACAGATTGGAAGTAAACCAGGCCAATGTTTCACATATTCTGTTGTCACTAAGTAAACAAATGGCAGCACTATTCTTACAAATTATGAATTTACCATTATTCTCCCAATCTTTAAAATTAAGGAAGACACTGGACTTTTTGTTTAAACGCAAATTCTGATTTCTCGGGTTAAGGCATGATGTCTCTTGACTGTGAAGTAGTAGGCCTGAGTCAACATTGCTCCCCACAGCTTCTGCAGACCCAACTGTGCTCTCAGTGGGGCTCAGCAGTCCTTGTGTGTGTCCCTAGTCATTTTCCTTTCCCACTCCCATGGTGACCGTCCATGACTTTCAGAAATTCATCTCATCCTGCTGTTTGCCTGGCAACCCCCTGACTCCACCTTGGGACCCTGCTCAGCACCTCCTCTTCTACAAGGCCCTTCCCATGACTTCCAGAGGGTCTGCACGTCCTCTTGTGCCTTCACTGTTCCCATAGTTGTGTCCACAGTGGCGGTTCTCAGCCATAGTCCCCAGGATCCCCTGGAGGACCTGTGAAAACACAGCTTGCTTGGCCCACCCCCAAAGGTTCTGCTTCAGTAGGTCTAGGGTGGACCCTAAGAATTTGCAGTTCCAACAAGTCCCCAGGTGATGCTGACGCTGCTGGTCCAGGGACTCAATCTGAGAATTATTTCTCTTAAATACTCGATCCCATGCTTGTATCTTCCACTCAACTGTGAGCATCTTAAGATCAGGGAGCATTTCCTGCACATCTCCTCCCAGGGTCTAGATAGTGTCTAGCAGCCATTTAATCAATCAACGAAAGTTTACTGAGTGCCTGTTATGTGCCAGGCACTGTTCTAGGCACTGGGATTCAGCAGTTTTTTAAAAATTACATATATATATATATAATTACATATATATGTAATATCTATATAAAATCTCCCTGCCTTCATGGATCTTCTGGTGCTACACAGTAAACCCTCAATAATTGTTACTGAAATCTGATAGTTTAGCAGAAAAATGGCATCATCAGGATCATTTAACAGTGCTGTGGGAATACCACTTTTCCATTTCCTCATCATAGCTTTCCCATTCGTATGCTTCTCCCTTCTGATATCGCAACCCAATGCCCAACACCTAAATTCATAAACCTAGCAGGATACCAGGCTTTGGGGTCTTACAAAATACGTGCTGATTGTTTTATAAAAAATTTGATGTAGATGACATGTTAGTAAAAAATAACAAATCCAAGAATTAATATAGTAAAGTGATTTGGGAGGTAAGCAATCTCAGTTTGATAAATATTGAGGAATAGCTTAACTAGTGGTTTTCAGATTAGCATTAGTTATCTCTAAGGGTAGCTCCCCTCCTCCCCCTCCTTATTCCATAACCTACATCTGTGTAAAGTCTTTATGGCAGTTCTCAGTTAACTGGTATGACAACTTTGGACTCCCGGTAGATCTAAACAGGCTGCTGCCTAAGCTGGGATCCAGTAACCATTTGGATCATCCTGTATGTGATTTTGAGAAACTGACAGGCAGCGCCATGAGGGTGTGTGATGCCATGGAAAGAAAGGGGACAAAAGCAGAGGCAAAGCTGACTCCCTCCACACAGCCAGGGCAGCTGTGTCTCAAGACATGCACCCCAGGCCTGAGGGCCCTGGGCCGCAGCAACCCCCTCCCTAACTCTAGGAAAGTACAAAACATGGACCTTCATCTTTGAACTAATTTTCTGAAAGTTTCTCAGGAAATAAAAATGAGAGAAATCACAAAGAGCAATTTGGAATGTAACTGAAATAACCATAATGTCTACTTTCAAGACTTTCCATATTCTTGAGGTTTGCAAATGTTCTTAAAAGGCCCTCATTTTTAAGGTCAAGCTGTGAGATACTACATGTTAATTAAATGGAGGGGAAAATTAGATGGGGGGAAGTATTTATGAATGGAATTCTAAAAAGGCTAGTTTCAATACTCCAGACTAAAATATTTATTCTCTGTTAACATCATAACCAAATTTGAGGTTCATTATTAGTGATATCAGATAGCAATACTATCTCAGAATAATATTCTCTTCCCATTGCTACCCCAAATTGGTGATAAAACACCCTAGCCCAACAAGTCATTGTGATTTCTACATATTAGAAGATTTAAGAGTAACTAACAACCTTTTAAAAAATATGCTTTTAAGATGGAGACTAGGTCCACCAACTTGATTTTTCTGAGTCAATTCTAATTAAGAAAATTCTGAGAAAGCTTTAGGTAAAAATGTGACCTTTTGGTTAGCGATACACTGACTTTTAAAAGATAGCCAGATTGTCATTTATTTCCATGGAGCAGTTTACTGATTGTCTTCCTTGTAATCCAAAGGAATTAATATTTCTCAAAGCTGTGTAATTCCCTGCTGAGGTGTGACCTCCAGTGAAACAGCCCCTTTCAAACTGGCAAGTATAAAGTCAAGATAAATAAAAATCAGTCCCTACAGGTGATTACATTAGTCTCATTAAGTTATTGCTACTTCATTTAGTGTAATAAATGAACACACTACTATATTCTGGGAAACAAACAAATCTAAAATAAAAATATTCTTGTTAACATCATTCATATCCTAGTAATAAATTAGCTTCCTTTAAAAAATTTCTCAATTATTCACAAAATCCATTCTTATTTTCTGAGTTAACAAGGCTGCATTTTAAAAGTGCAATAAAAAATTCGCGAGGCCTTCACTCCAGCGTAGCCCGGACTTCTTTGTAGTTTCCAAGACACAGCTTCTTGTTCTGGTGCTGTTCTTCATGCAGAGGGGTGGGTATCAACACACCATCTAGCATTCAAGAATAACTTCATGTCAGGAACACTCCACTTCAAATAAATGGGTACTTCTTACAACCATACAGGTTTTAAGGGCAAAATAATGCTGAAGTTGAAGAAACACTCACTTTTTTATCTTCAAGTTCTCAACGGTGAAGAACTAATTCTAGAAAACTCACATAATACACTATCTGACCTTTTAAAAACTGCATTCACTCAACAGCATATGGCAAATAACTAATAAAACTTTTTTGGGAAAAAGTTCTTATCATCAGGCTGGAAGAAACAAAATACACTTAATCCTCCTGCAGTGGGAGGAGGGAACGGTCTGTGGGGCGTGAGGTTCTGGGAGACCCTCCACATTCACACGCACGTCTCCCGGGAGGAAGACAGGCGTACTGAGTGAGCAGGCTGCGAGAAGAGTCTGCCTTCCACCACTTCCTGGCTTTTGTTTTTAATAGCGTTCTTTGTACAATAAACTGTATGTGTTTACAGTATACAATAAACTGCACATATTTAAAGTGTACAATTTGAATGGGTTTTGACATAAGTACACACCTGTGAAGCCACCACCACAGTCAAGACAATGAATATAACCATCACCTACACAAACTTCCTCCCGGCCCTTTGCTTCCCATCTTTGGAGGGATCTCCTGCCCTCCAAGCTGTGTATTCTGCTCTGTTGCTGCCTTAGTGTCTTCCAGAGTAGATCTGGAAAGACTTCTCTCTCGTCTTATTAGGTAATATTTGAAACACACACAAAAAGTATATATATAATATAAATGGGAGTTCTAAAGCTTAATAATAAAGTGAACACTCAAGAACCTACTGCCCCAAAAGAGTTATCTTGCTTAAATGTGCACTAACTGAATAAAACTGTTTGTATAAGGAGGAAAAAAAAGAACCTACTGCCCAGCCTAACAACGAGAACATTGCCAGTTCCTATGTCCTCTCTCTTGAATCTCATCCCCTTTCACTCCATTCAGAGGAAATCACTATCTTGAATTTCGTGTTTATCAATTCCATTGCTTCCTTTGTGAGAATACACCATAATATTTTTGTCTAATCTCCCAAGATAAACATTTGTGTTATTTCCAGTTTTTGCTTTTAAGAACAACATTGCAACGAATTCTTTCTCTCTCTGTCTCTCATGCAATATGAAAGAGTTTCTCTAGGGCATATACTTAGAAGTCCAATTGCTGGGTCATGGTATAGGCATTTGTAGCTTTACAAAGATGTCAAATTATTTTCTAAGGTGTCTGAAAAATTTCCAGTCCAATCAGCAACATACAAAAATTCCTAATGACCCCTATTCTCACTAGCACTTCGTAATGGCAAACTTTAATTTTGCAAATCTACTGGGTGTAAAACATTGCTTCAATGTGATCTTAATTTGCATATCTACGACTACTAATGAGTTTGATCATCCTTTCATGTGTTTATTGGACATTTGGGGACAAAACAAACAAATAAGTAAAAACAGGCTGGCTGGTTAGCTCACTTGGTTACAGCACAGTGTTGGTAACACCAAGGTCAAGGGTTCGGATCCCCATACCGGCCAGCCACCAAAAAGAAAAAAAAAATAGAACAATTATATTGGACATTTGTTTTTCATCTGTTGTGAAATACCGATAACTATCTGTTTCCCATTCATTAAATTTTTTTTATCAGTTTGTTGGACTTCTTTACATGTTCTGGGAACCAGTTCATTGTCATGTGTGAAAAATGTATTCCTCCAGTGGATGGCTGGTCTTTTCACTTTCTTTAATAATGTCATTTGGAGAAGAGAAGTCCTTAATTGGAATGTATTCTAATTTCTCGTTCTTTTCTTTTATGGAGCATTACAGTATTTGTGTCCTGCTTAAGTTATCCTTTCTACTATAGGTTTCAAAGATATCTATATTTTCTTCTAAAACTTGAAAAAAGTAACCTTTTCCACTTGTCTTTAATTCATCTGGGATTGATTTTTGTGCATTATGTGAAGTGAGAATTCAATATCATTTTTTCTACATGGATAACCCATTTTCCAACCCTATATATTAAATGGTTCATACCTGTCCCTGTGATGTGCATGGCCCTTTCTCTCAGCAATGATAAGGGTCCCACAATTCATGAGGCAGTACCCCACATTAAAGAACCGGACCACTCAAAATACCAACAGTGTGCCCACTGATAAACAGCGGCTTAACTTCATCCACTAAGTTTTTTTATTTTATTTTATTTTATTATTATTATTTTTTTAAAAGATGACCAGTAAGGGGATCTTAACCCTTGTCTTGGTGTTGTCAGCACCACGCTCTCCCAAGTGAGCTAACCGGCCATCCCTATATAGGGATCCGAACCCTTGGCCTTGATGTTATCAGCACCACTACACTCTCTCAAGGGCTGGCCCCTGAGTTTTTTTGTTTTAACAAGAGTATTTTTTCATTTCTCTAAATTCCGATTACTTTAAAATATACCTAGTTACTTTCTTTTACAATAGCTTGTTCCTTGCTCATTTTTTCAATACCATCTTTCACTTCTTAGACACTTTTTTTTTTTTTTTTTTTTGTCTTTTTTCGTGTCCGGCAACGGATCGCAACCCTTGGTGTTGCTCCCACGCCTCGCTCAGCCAGTGAGCGGGAACCGGTCTGCATGTGGGATCCGAACCCTTGGTGGGAGCGCCTGCCACGCTTCCCAAGCGGCACACTGTAGCAGTGCACCACCGGGCCAGCCCGCTTCTTAGACACTTTATGTCCTCTATTTAGACTCTTTGGGAGACTAAATATGCTGTTTGTTGTTTCTGTTGGCTCTCACTTGTGGTGCTATATTTTCTTCTGTGTTTGGTGATTTTCCAACTACAAACTCATATTTCATTATATCCTGTGGGCCTAAGTTGGGATTGCTCTCCTTTTTTTTTTTTTTTTTTTTTTTTTTTTGCATTTGCTTCTGCCAGGAGCAAGGAGGTGCCCCCAAGTGGGAGCATTTTAGCTTCCTTTGAGGACCCAGTGTAATGAAGGAGTCTCAGGCTTAGTTTACCCACCTTGCAGCAGACCCCAGACCTACTCTCATGACTCCAGCTTATATGGACATTTATCCATAGTGTAACTCTAGCTTTTGTGTCTGCTTTTGCTATTTACATCCTAGCAAAATGTTCCTCTTATCTCAATTTTTTTTTTTTTGTAGTTTTTTGAGGGGAACATGGGTGCCTGGATAGTTTCCTTATTTTCTTGAAAGCCCTGTGATTCTTTAAAAGGAATGCTTGTTACGGTTTGTTTGGGTTCCGGTTGTAAGGAGTAGAAGGGCCCTTGAGAGGAGTCAGTCACACTGCCCGCCTGTGCTCGTATTGTCCCTGCTGCCGACACTGAGAGGGTGTGAAGCAGCAAGTCTCCAAGAGCTGGACAGACTGATTTGGTCAAAGGTCAAGCCCCAGTCTAGCAATAAAGGTGGGGTTTCACCTTTCATCTCTTTGATTCCTGTGTCTATTTCTCGACTGAATCAAAAATCAGAAAGGAAGCACGTTGTACAACTCCATTTATATGAAATGGCCAAAATAGACAAATCCACAAAAATGTGAAGTAGATTAGTGGTTGCCTAGGGCTGGGGGTAGGGAAGAATGGGCAGTGACTGCAAATGGGTATATGAGGTTTCTTTCTAAGATAATGAAAATGTTCTGAAATTGGCTTGTGGGGATGGTTGCCCAACTCTGTGAATATACTAAAAACCACTGAGTTGTACACTTTAAAAGGGTGAATTTACAATAGGTGAGTTATATCCCAGTAAAGCTGTCATATACCTGGAAAGATAGGAATATTATTTACTGATATAAAATGCTCAAACATGAATATAAAACATAAACTTACAATTCAATGAACTGTCACAAAGCAAACATACACTTAACCATTACTGGGTCAATAAATAAAACATTGCTAGCAAACCAGAAGACTTCCTCTTGTCCACTCCTTCTAATCTCAGGACTTTAACCACAAGTTAAAGACCTTCTTCCTTAATGATCTAGGAATTTAACAAATCCTGGAGACAAGCCCTTTGTTGATTATAAGTGGCAAATATCTTCTCCTATCCCATGGCTTGCCTTTGCACTCTATTTTTTTTAATTTTTATTTTATTTTATTTTTATTTTGTCAATATACAATGTAGTTAGTTATTGTGTCCCATCACCAAAACCTCCCTCCCTCCTCCCTCTCCCCCCTCCCACCCAGATGTGTCCCCTCCATTTTCTTGTTGTAAGAGCTTCAAAAAAAAAAGGTGAGGTTGTTAAATCTTCTTCTCCCCCCTCCCCCCCCCCTGGTTTTTTGTTGTTGTTGTTGTTGTTGTTGCTATTTGTTTGTTTTTGTGTGAGTGTGTGTGAGAGTGTGTGTTTGTATATGTGTGTGTGTGTGTATGTATGTGTGTGAATTGATTCATTCACCTTTAGCTCCCTCCAATAAGTGAAAACATGTGGTATTTCTTTTTCACTGCCTGACTCGTTTCACTTAATATTATTCTTTCAAGGTCCATCCATGTTGTTGCAAATGGCAGTATTTCATTCGTTTTTATAGCTGAGTAGTATTCCATTGTGTAGATATACCACATTTTCCATATCCACTCATCCGATGATGGACATTTGGGCTGATTCCAGCTCTTGGCTATTGTGAAGAGTGCTGCAATGAACATTGGAAACAAGTATACCTTCGACTTGATGATTTCCATTCCTTTGGATATATTCCCAGCAGTGAAATAGCTGGGTCATATGGTAGATCAATCTGCAACTGTTTGAGGAACCTCCAAACCATTTTCCATAGGGGTTGCACCATTATGCATTCCCACCAACAATGTAAGAGAGTTCCTTTTTCTCCGCAACCACGCCAGCATTTATCGTTCAGCGTCTTTTGGATTTTAGCCATCCTAACTGGGGTGAGATGGTATCTCAGTGTGGTTTTGATTTGCATTTCCCGGATGCTGAGTGATGTTGAGCATTTTTTCATATGACTGTTGGCCATTTGCATATCTTCTTTAGAGAAATGCCTACTTAGC